TTTGTTTTGGAATTAGTGAAATGTGTAAGTAAAAATTTTATGAGGATATTAAATATTCTATATTCTTTAATTTTGTTTTTCTTTTTAAAATTTGTTTTTTTTTTTTTCTTAATTTTTATATATATAAATGAATCGATGCTTTTTTTTTTTTATTACATTTCTTCGATATCGTATGAAGATTAGTTTTTATTTTGAAGAAAAAGTTAAGCATCTATCAACTGTCGCAGAATGTTCACTGTAAAGTAATTTCATACTTTACTATGAACTGATTTATTTAAATTGTTTTTCCGCAACAGCGGAAAAAGTTTACTGTAGGAAACCAAAAGTTGAAATTGAACTTCTCCAACCCGCGATTAAAGGAATTCTTCCACGTGAAAGCGATTAATTTCATTCCCGTGCGGACACGCCATTTTAAATCACACGAGCCAATGCGTTTGATGTGATTTCCTCTCCTAGAAAAAATAGTAAATTATTTAAAATTTACGAGAGGATTAAATAAATCTTATTAAACGCTATGCTAATTTTTCAAATGATTATATCTTTCACCAATTATATCTGTTTATTATTATTATTTAAATTTTAAATACTCTAATCTTTGAAAAGGAATTACTTTGAATATCTTTATTTCGTCACTTCATACTTTTTTTCATTTAATAGTCGAATATTTCAAATATTCAATAGTTAAACTTCATTCGCGTGTAAATCAAAAAATATTAAAAATTATCAGAAATTTATTAAAGGTTTACATATTTATTTCATAAATTTTATTATATTGTATTGTATTTAATTTAAGAATTGTATTGTATGTAATTTAAGAATTTCGCAACTTTGTGCGCTAAAACTCAAAGATTGACATGACACGTTAATGCGAATGGGCTCTCCATTAATATTGCCACGTCGCGTCACGTCACGCCTTCCAGGTGGCCGAATGACCTGTCGTTGACAGCTTTTCTATCGTTAATGCTTACAAGATCGAAATTCACCTCTGTAAATTCACTCCTTGCCCGGAATTCATTCCGTTCGATTAATCTGCGATCTGATGAGGACTCGAAAGGCCATGTCGATTTTCGTCTCTTCAAAAGATTAATTTCTTTTTCTTTGAAAAGATACATTTTATCGTTTCTCCATTTTCATTTGAATCTTTTACGGAATTAATAATTTTTCTTCCCTGGAAAAGATAAATGAAATAAATATTATTTTTATTGGAAAGAAAATAATTTAAATTCTAAATAAATAATATTAATATATAGTAGTGATTTTTATGTTAATATTATTATTTTATTATTTAATTTTTAATTAATATTTGACACTTTTACTTTAATTTTAATTTTATATTCATAAATCACACGATAGATTTCATATTGATTTTTATAATGGTTGAAATAATGAGTTAATATTTCAATCTCTTTTTCTCTTTGATAAGTATCATGTTTTTCTTTCGATTGAAAAACGTTTCGTAAAAATTTTTACGTGTTTTTTTTTTTTTTTTTTTTTTTTTAACGAGAATTTTGGTTAATATGATTGAGAGAAGAGTGATATTATTTCCATTTTTCAAGTTTTTCAATCGGAACCGCACGTTTCTATTATGGAGGTATACATTTTTCATTTAAAATAAAATTTAATTTTATGGAATAATATTTGATAAAGTATTGGAAATAGCTCATACATGCCTGGAATTTAAAACACGAGGTATTTATCTCTTTCAAAATGTACGACTGATGTAATGTGATTATTATATTAAACGAATTTAATTAAATTAGTATTCGTATACAAGGCTATTAATATTCGTTTTATAATTCGATATATAAACCCTTAATCAACATTTTCGTATATAATAAATTTTTGTATTTATTATGACATTTCAGAATCGAAATGTGTCTTATGAAATGTATATTAACATCCTCTATAAAAAAAAACATATAGTTTTTTTAGCATTATTTATACTGGTTTCGTGCACGAATTTGTCGCCTCCGTGAATAATAATAAAAATAAAACGCGTCAGTCTGTTTTCGCATGACGAAAGTTTGTTTTTCACGTGGTTGAAATGAAAAATAATATCAAAGAAAATTATTACACGTTCTGACAGAATTTGTATATTTTTTTATGCCAGTTACATTATATTATAACGTTAAAAATTGATAAACATTATACTTATAAATATTAATCCTTAGAATAATTTTTAATTTCGTTCAAAGTAATAAACAAGAGAAGACATTTGTATAAAAATTATCATTATATTGTTAGGCAAACAAAGGGGATCGTTTTGAATACGATCCAACTTGCCACTTGTTTCCTTCAAGTTTCATCCTGTCACGTCAGTATTCGCCAAATATTCAGGAAGAAAATACACTATAGAGTCACCAAAGTTCAGAATAAAAGACAGGAGGGTTGTTTTCTTCGTCGAAGATTGACTTAGCATTCTAGTGTAAATATTTACACAATTTATATCGAGGGTAGGATGCGGAAAATCTTTATTATTTCAAAGATAAAATGAAAAAAATGATTGATCATTTATCGTTATCGTTTTTTTTTTCTCTTCTTCCCTTTGTTTCACGTTCCAGGAATTGTTTATATATTCCTTAAGAAATCGAGAGATTAAAAAGAATAAAATATCTATCGAAAGTGTTGGTATCGATCATTGAAGTTGCCATAATATTTTTTTATCCATGGTAAAAATTGAAACATCGAGATACAATAAATAATACAGAAAATGTACGCAGTTTGATCAGAGTTTCAAAAATGGTGGAGATTTCAGTACTGAAAATCTTTGAATAATATTTTATCTTTACTTTCAAAAACGTAAAAATAAAACCAGAACCAATCAGAATATGATGCATCGCGTTGCAAAACCATCTCGATCTTTCGAAGAGCAACGTCACTGTTCGCAATTTAAATTAATACAATTCCAGATTTCCAGATTCCAGTGCGCATTATATCAACTTTACGTTCGATAGAGGATAATGCTTGCCATTTTAATATGTTTAATGCACTGTAATCCTCGATAACTTTTAATCTCATTAGAGAGCGAGAGCCTCATCTCCGTCATATTAATGTTTCGGGACGAGTAGTTCTCCCCGCGTCGAATTACTCGTGTTCTAAAAGCACGAGGGTTGGCCTCACTTTCTCGCGCCGCGGAGAAAATCTCGGTTCTTTGTTTCGCCCTTTTCTTTCGTGGTCCACCACCGCCGCGATTTTATGACGTTGAATCGCGTAAATCTGAAGAGTCGAGGCAGAAATTAATGTCGTGTCGCATTGCGACCACGATTTCTCCCTTCTTACGCGCTTTTTCTTCTTTTTTAAAACGCTTTGTCGTTCGTCGCTTTTATTTTTTTATTTTTTTATTTTTTTTTTTCCCCTACTTTTTTCTTCACTTTCTTTTATCGTTCTTTTCCTCTGCGAGGAGTTATACTTTATTATACGGAGGAGAACGAAGTAGTAACGAAGGAAAGGGATTAATTGTGACTTATTGTAGTTTATTTTATGGAATTGATTGGTGGAATGTTTGCTCGAATTTATTGGTATTGAAAGTATGTTTTTTTCTCTCTTTCTCTTTCTTTTTACGATACGTTGTTATAAATTATTTGTAAAATTTCCAATTATCGTATCTTTATTTGGAAATTTAAATTTGTATATAGCAACGAAGACATTTTCTTTTTCTATTTAAAATTGTTCCTACATTTTATATCTTGTTATAAATCTCAAGTTTCTTTTAGAAAGTGAAGAAAAGAGTATGATAAATATAGTGCATTAATTTACTTGCGATCAGTTCAAATTATCCACGAAAATTCAATGGAGAACGTTTGAGCAGAAAAATTTAGCGGAAGTCACTGGAGCGGATTTCTTGTATCGACATTTCTATTATTTCGCTCGAAATCCTGGATATTCGTGGCGTTCCAGCAATGAAAATGGACGTGCGGAATTTTCGTAGAACGTAATCGACGACAAACCACGTCCCACGTCCCAGAAATCAACGTCTGTTCTACGTCATTTTCGGATATCATTCCTGATGCGTTTTCAAACGCATTCGTGAGGAACACGATGTATAATTCTGATCCAAAGTTTCTCCTTTGATGGTTCAAAATTTTGAGAATTTTTATGATTAAAAATAAAAGATTAACAATATAATAAATATTGAATCTTTTTTAAAGTTTGATTATCTATTGCATGTAAAAAATCTTTGATTTCTTGTTAAAAACGAGACGAACGTCTTTCACAATTATCTTCCACTTGTCTAAATTCATCCCGTCCCATAAAATTTTTCATTTTCCAATGATTAACAAAAACTTAATTCTGCTCTACAATCAGACATACTTACGCTTGTTCAAATTTGATTAAATACGCTTACAGAAAAATCAATAACGCGGAAATGAAATGCTTTCGCCGAGCATAATGAAACGCACGGCTGAAATTTACGTAGAATCAAATTACGGTATTCGAGCAACGCGTAGTCATACCGTGTCGTAATCCTATTATCCAAGTTCACCCATTAAATCCTTTGTCACCCGAAATATTCGAAAGAGGCGAAAAACAAGAGCGCATTAAGCGCGATCATAGCTGCATAACCAAGCTAAAAGATTTTAAGCGTTACTCTCGGATACGCTTTTCTTTCTCTCGTGCCAATGGCTGAAAACTATCATTAGAAATATATAATGTTCATTCACAGAATTTGCTCAAACAGCGTTATTATATCACGTTCCATTCGTAATTCATTTTTTTTTTTCAATTAATTATGCATCATGATAAATTGGAATATATATTATCCAGGAAAAATTTAAGCAAAAGTGTAATAAAATCTGTTGACTTACGTGTACTAGTAGATGTATTAAATTATGCATCATTCCATGTATTCTGTACAATATATTATATTTTATTAATTTTCTGCTCCCCGGTTAATTCGAATGATGCGGAATTAATTAATATTATATATAAATAAAATCAAAAGTTTAATGATTGCCAAAAAAAAAAAAAATGAAATACATATTATCCTCTTTTTTTTTCAGTGCACATCGTTCAGTGAATCGTTCTCACTTCCACAGCCGACGAATCGACGAGGAGGGTGGTGAAGAGGGAGGGGTGTTTGACGGGCGTTTTCAGAGGCAAAGGGATAGAAAGGAAAACGAATGGGGGAAATATTAACCCGGCAAAGACGAAAGTCTACTTGGCTGATTTGACATTTCCGTGTGCGCGGTCGCGTGTGTGCTCGCCGAGGTCCGTGTTTTCATCGCTTCGAAACGGAAGCTTCGGGAAGAAGAGAAATGGGAATATTGGGAAAATTGCTTTCGTCGGTGTCCCTGGTGTCCATCTGGTGTCTGCTGATCGTCGAGCCCGGCAAGGTTCAGAGGGAACAGGATCACCTGGGTAAGAAGTCATCTCTTTATTGTATCTTTGCCCCTCGTTTTCACGCGTCATACGATTTCGTTACCTCTTCGTTTCCGACGATTTGTTTGTTCGTTCATTTTTATACAGATATATCTATAATAGAGAATCGGAAATTAAATTATTAATTTGAAAGAAATCAATAATGTCTTTGGAAGATCTTCGTCGGAAGATAGATATTTATCACGATATGAAAATCGTGTTCTTTCCTTTATTAATTTTTCTTTAAATCATGCCCCACGAATCGTATATTTCATCTGTTGCAAACTCTCGATACTGATTTATGGATTCTACTCAACATTCTTTTAACGTACGTTACATATGACTGGGCAAATGTAAATTTCGTTCCTGATTTATCGTTCCGCAGCATTCGCTAGATTTATCACGTGCGTCTGTTCGCGCGGGAAAAGAAAAATGAAAAAAAGCATACTTTTCATGAAAATGATGCTTCTATTTTTCACCCCCATCCGTGGCGCCCCTCATTAACGAATACTCGGATACAATTTTCACTCGCGAGTAAATTGATGAAAGAACCGAACTGAATGGTGTTTGTCACGTGTCTCGAATGTTCGATGAAAAATATAAAAAAAAAAGAAATAAAAAAAAAAAAAAAAAGGTAAAAAACTAACGAGACACGGAACAAAGAACGCATTTGCGATTTAAATGCGAGGATCTCGTTTCTCGTCGCGATTCATCGACGCGCTAATACGTCTGGTTAATCGTTGATTGGAGCGTGGCGCAATTATATCAATGGACAATTTATGCACCCGTGTATTCAACCAGATATGTTTTTCTTCCTGTATATATATATTCGTTCGAGGATTATTGTCCTGCGATTCGTTTTCGAAGTTTGTTCGCAATTTTTAATCGCGGATTTCTCTCGCGTTTTTGTCCTCTCGTGCAGATTTGGAGATTTTGTTTTTTTCTTTTTTCTGTTTTCTTTTTTTGTTTCTTCAATACACAATTTTTAGTGCACGGTTTTTACGCTGGGTGAATTGTTCTGATTTGTGGAGGAAATTGGTTGGAAATAAAATTTGGAATCAATATTCGAAAATGTTTGAAGTTTTTAATGTCGGAGTCGTCGATCTGGAAAAATAAAAATATATAATTATATATATAAGAAATATTAATCAGAATTAAGTGTCAGAATCTGTGTTATTTAAGAAAATTTATCAAAAAATTCTGATTTTATTCGTGTGTGTAGCATAACGGATCGTACATGGAATAATCTTTTCGTTCACTTTTGAGAACAATTTCATATTTTTCATAGCGGATGATAGAGCATTAAAAATCAAACATTTTATAATTTAAAATGTTTTTATAAATAAAGTGATGTTTCGTGTTAACAAAAATTACCGCGTATTCATTATGCTCCACATATTCACAAAAATGAAAGATATTTTAAAAATAAAGTTAAATCTTTATAATACCTACAAATATTTCTGTGGTTGATTGCGTGAACGAATTTTTCCGTATTTCATATCGTCATTAAACGAAGGATATCAAATATCAAGAAGATTAAATCAAAAATATCGTAAAAATATGAAAATAATAAATATTCATAGAGAGAAGAATAATTGAAAGAAGTCATGGATCAAGATTATGAACTTTTCAGTTAACTTTCCTTTGGAACTGTTACGGAATCTCATTCTCCCCAGCTACCCTTCTTCTTTTATTTTTTTCGCGGTGACATTAATATAGCGCTGCCACGGCATGCAGCTGTCCTTTGTTGGTGTTTCGTGGCGAAGTTATTTCTCGCCTTTCGGCATTTCACCGTGCATCCTCTATTTCTACCAGCTATTCTTGAACCAGCTTCCCTTGAATCGTTTAACCCGTTCCTCGTTTGCCGTGAGCCTCGTTTTTCGCCATCACACCTGTGACCCTTGAGAAAATTTGATTTTCCTCCCCATGCTTAAAATTGGATAAGAATCGTTCCTCCACTTTTCAAACTTGTCGCGATTTTCCATAGAATTCTATAAAAATTTATTCTATAATTTCGTGTTCTATAAAAAAAAAAAGAAGAAAAGAACTTGTCATCCTCGTGATTAAAATTGGACAATATAATCCAATTTCTTTCAAACGAATTTTATCTGCGTAGAATAGAAAGTTAATACTGTATGGAAATTTAATAGGATAATATTTACACATAATATTTACATTATTATCGCACGTCGCGGTACGTCGAAATATTTGCGACAAACGCAATAAGAAATTGTTTATAATTCTTACTTCGCTCGCACATTCGCTCCTCGAAACAAATATTTCCAGTTCTTGCGAGCTCAGTTAAAAGTTTACGGCGTAGAAGCGCGGATGTTTCTATAAGAAATATCGTTGCAAAAGTGCGCACTCTAAACAATGATTTATCATGTGGATCGCGAGAAGTGGCCGGTTTTTATACGTTTATACGTCGAGAATTATTGTACGTATATAAAGAATTTTTCTATTTTTTTCTTCGTTATTATAAATAGATTAGATTCTATAGTCTGTTTTTACCTCGTTCGTTCGTGTTCTTTTCTTTAATTAAAGCTTGGCGATGTGCGTTGCGATAATAGAGGGATATCGGGTTGAAAATAGTTGGTCTTGGGGATAAATCGATATTTGCTATTTATACGATTAGAGTGCAAAGGATTTGTAAATTTAGATTTACATCTTCGGATGGATTAAAATAGACGAGGTTGGTTGGTTGTGTTGTGATATATCTAATTTAGTAGCTCAGTTTCACTTGTGAACAGTGTAAAATATGGATACAAAAGAATATAGATATATTCTGTAAAGATAATATAAATATTCGTAATTTAAAGCATCGTAATATCGTTATTTCTAAAAATTTTAACAATCAATTACAATAAATCTTCTTCTTTGCAACGCTTACATTATCACAGAGGAGAAAAATATTATCAATATTAATTCACAAGTCAAAGGGAGCATAATTTTCCATTTAATCATCGCTAATTTAATTTTTGCAGATTCATTTTCTCGAATTTTCATCGAGCAAATCCCAACCTTCGGCTTCGACGAATCTCCATCACAAGTTGAAATTCGTCCAAGAATTTCACGGCCAAGGATCGATTCGAAACAAATCATTCCTGTAGTCGAATCGGGCAAAAGCATAAACTTCATTAGACGTAGAGCATAAATCCACGATTACCCTTGTCCAATAACTTCGCAAATATGGAATACGGTATCTTCACATCGATCTCTCATCGATTTCGTACAACTTTTGAAATCCACGAAGGGTATCGAGAAGAAAAGTCACAGAGGAGCTCTTTTGATGGGGAGAAGAATGATTAACAATCGAATGGGGCATAGTCGATCCTTACAAGGTTTACAAGCCTCCATTTCCAGTCGGCCATCATCTCAGAAATCGCGGATTGCTTTGATATCGCGTCCATCTGAAATACACAAAAACGATTGCTCTCGATAAGCCATTTCAAAGATCCGCCGATTTTTATTTTTATATGATTGTGATCGATAATAATTCGTGTTTTATTTACGACGTTGGTCAGTATTTGCTTCAAACGTAGTTTTGTTTCGATGGGGTAGTTTAACATTTGGTTTAATACGGGGAAAGAGGATTATTGAGGGGGGAAAATTTTTAGCTGGATGATTGGATGAGATTTTCAAGTAGATTTTCAATTTCTTCTTTTTTTTTTCTTTATATAATGCATTATGCAAATTTAAAATATACTTAATTAATAAGTACTTAGTTAATAAGAAAGAAAAAAAAAGAAAGGAAAATCCATCTTATCACGGAAGAATCATCATAGATACCAACCATAATAATTCCACAGCCAGATCAATCCCATAGGTAGCCCCTTGCACGCCCGATGAAAGCATCCTAGGATCGATCGAGTATCTCCATAAAGGGGTTCGACCTCTATCTCCACGATGAAAAGTAAGGAAGAGAGGGTGGATGGATGCTTTTTGTCCTTGCCGAAACCCACCCCCGTCCCTGTGTTCCTTACGCGTGTAACCACCGGCGGGGTTCGAGACTTCATTTCCGGGTACCTGGCCCACTAGGAATTACTTACCCGTAGGATCTAATAACTTTTATCGGTTTTCATGGAGGTAGGGTAGGGGCGAGGGATCGAAGAGAATAGGCGGGTGGAGATGGATGCGGGATAATGGAGACGGATGGACGCGCGGAGAGGGATTAGATCGGGGGCGAGATGGAGGAAGAGGGGCCGTGAAATAGGATTTAAGGCGGCGCGGTGGAAAATGTTGAAATTTTAACGTGAAATTTCTAAAGGATGATGGAGTTGATTGATGCTTAATAACGGAGAAAATCCTTAAATTCTTGATCGTTTGGGGGTGAGAGAAATGCTCGAGATAATTGCAGTCTCCTTTCCTGGATCTATATCATAGAAATTTCAGAATTTTTATTTTTTGATCCTTACAAATATAATATTACTGCGTGAAAAGATATGAATCGAGTTAAGTTAAATTAATCGTGTATAAAATAGCCTCCATTGTCTAAATTTCTTTTCGAATGTACGTGAAGATCAAGTAGATAGATGCAAAGAGATTAATTTGTTTCTTAACTTTCGTTCGAATAAAAATCAAAAGAAAAAGAAAAGGAAGTAGCAAACTGTCCGATAAGAAACCAAAAAAACGAGATCAGAAATCGTAACAGGAACTCGTACCGGGGTCAAACTAGATTCATAAACGAAGCGTGACACCGAATGAAAAACCGTTTCGAAACTCGGGGCCGATATCGAGCCGAAAAAAAGTTTAAAAAAAAGAAACGAATAAAAAAATGGAAACGAGCAAGCGTAGTGAAACGATGAAAGGGCGAGGGGTGGAAAGTAGACGAGGAAGAAACACGGACGGAAGTAGGAAACGATCGGTCGTAAATACCTATTGGAGTATCGGCACGGTCGCATCCATCGATCGTGGCCGTGGTGTATCGATAATCGAAGGCGAAAGCCGTACGATGACAAATGCCTTTATCATACATGGGGGTTGGCCGGCTGCTG